CTGTATCCCAGCACAGCTAGGCTGCTTATCTACACAACTGTCCAAAAAGAAGTGTGGAACTCAGCCAGAATGTGGGAGAAAAGACTCCTGGGTCCACCTGGCTCTGCCCCAGTGTACACTTAACTAGATCCTGACTACCGTGGGTGAAACGGGCCTTGGTTGTCTCCCAGTAAGGTTGTTTGGAAGGACTTGTGTGGCAGGTGTCGGTTCCTTTGTAGGCTCTGGTCCTGCAATGAGAATATCCCTGTCTAAACTTGGTTTCTTTCCTCTCACCCACAGGACACATAGTATGACCTTTAAGTGTTTCGTCTCCCAGCTGCTTTCTATGGAAAATCAAGGGGATCGGGCGATGATAGCCACTGGCAGCTTTGAAGAACGGGACACCTTTAGAGAAGCCTGATCCTGGAGGCCTCAGTGTGAGACCTCAAAGTTCCACGCCAGGTGAGAGCCAGGCTAATGATGCCTGCTGTCTCCTCTCAGGCCTGTGGTCAAGGGCTGAGGTCAGCCGGACCGTCGGAAATCCCCTCCTCCACCCTGGCAAGTGGTTCTTCACAGTTCAGTAAGCACTTTCATTACCCTGGTCACCTTCTGGCCCTTAAAGATGGCAGACCGCAGTGTTTAAAGGAAGATCCTAACCCAAGTGGGACAGGAGCTTATTGGGTATTTGGTTCTGTATTTGTGTTTTGTCTTTGTGTGTGAGTATGTGGTGTGTGTGTGTGTGTGTGTGTGTGTGTGTGTGTGTGTGTGTGTGTGTGTGTGTGAAGGCACATGGGTACCAGGGCATACGGATGGAGGTCAGAAGACAACTTCTACTATATGGGTCCCAGGGATCAGACTCAGTTCCTCAGACTCAGTGCCAAGCACCTTTACCCATCTTGCTGGTCTGTACTTCCCTTCTAACTTTGACCGCCCCTGTGAATGAAATTAGAAATTGGGTGTTAGCTTTTTTACTACCTACAGTGGTTACTTGTCTGGTTCTAGTTTTGTTTTTTTTGTGGGGGGGTCAGGATCTCACCACATGTCTTTGGTTGGCCTATGTAGACCAGGCTGGCCTTGAACTCAGATCCACCTGCCTCTGCCTCCCAAGTCCAGGAACTAATGGTATGCACGACCATGCCTAGCATGATTACCTTTCTAGGCGTGGGTTTCAGTTGTAGTAGGAACTTTGGTATAGGTGATCTTTGCCTCTATACGCAACCCTCAAGGGCCTGACCTTTGGAAAACCCTGAGCAGCATTCACAATGGCAGCTGAACCACGTTTTTTGCTCTGGAGAGCAACCGATGCTACATCTTTCAGGGTTCCACACCACGCTACCACTTGGCTCAAGATGAGGCAGACATGCCATAGACTTGCGCATCATGCCACTAATGCCTAGAGGAGAGGTCTGTTCAAAGTGTCTCAGAACTGTTTCATTGGCATGGAAGGGCTTCCGTTGTGAAGGGCCTTGGGACTGAGATACAGGAGGCAATGAGGCACTACAGGGCAGGAGTAGCTTTGGAGCCTGAGGACGGACGTGGCCCTGAGCTCTTCTCTAACAGAGAGCCAGGAAGGCAGCTGCCTCACAGGCCACTCTCAGGATTTCTCAGGGTTACTTGAGTGCAGGAGCGGTGGAGTCAGACCCAAGAGAAGGAGGTGTCCGCTGGGGAGTCCAGGAGCACCTTCACCCTTACAATTTGTCGTTTGATTCCTAGTCTCACTGAGCCCCAGGGGCTCACGGGAACACGAATCAGGTCTGACTTTGCCCCAGTGGTGCTCTTGAACTCGTTGCTATGAGTCTGAGTTGCCCTGATGTCCCTGTTTGTCCCAGCTGTTTTGTTTCCATGGTTGTCTGTGTTCACAGGTGACTACCACCACATCCTCCCTCCTGAGCCCTAGCAACACAGGCAGCCAATCAAGCCAGGCTCAGAGCAGTGGCTCCAATGAAATCAGAGAAGTGAAACTAGGGAAGTTGAAGCTGCGGGCCACCCTCCCCCGCTGGGTGCTGGGCTTACTTCCTCTTGGGGCAGTGAGGAGGGTGGTGTTCCCACTCTAAGAACAAAATGGAGCTTTTGGTTTCCTGTGTCTCCTGCATAGCTGTGACCTGCACCTCCCACCCCACCACAAAGAACTGAGAATGTCTCTCCACTGGAGGAAAGCAAACAGGCCTCCTGGCTGCCCGGCCTCCTATCCTCCCGCTGGGCCTGCCAGTGAGCCCGGACAGGGTGAATGGCGCACCTCTGTAAACCTGCACCTGGGGCAGCAGAGGGCCTGAGCTGTGGAGGCTAGCAAGGATGGAATTAACATGTCTCTTTCAGTAATTATATACCTGCCAGAACCTCCCCTGCCTAGGAACCCAGAACAAAAGCCTGTGGGATTTGGTCTGCCAGGTCCTGCTCTGGCAGAACTTTCCCTCACTGGGTCAGGTCAGGAGCCATTTGGTGACTGTGAGGCAGTCTCAGGTTGACCCAGAAGCCATAGTCCCTACGCTAAATAAGAGGGAGCCCTTCACAGAATCTCAGCCCCATGGCAGGAATTGCTTCCCAGACCCTACTTGACTAACCCCTGGTTTCCGTCCTGGAAGCCCTGAGTGTCTTTAGGGAAGCCGGGCAGGAGTGGGTAGGTGGTGAGCCGGGAGGGAGGCCGGGGGACGCTGTTACTGAAGGGCGTCTCTTCTTCTGGTTTAGATTCCGTTCCGGCAGACTTCCTCTGTCTCGTCTTGCCGACTGAAGGTTCCTACTTCTCCAGTTTTTCTCCATCTTCCGGGAGGTAGAAGGAAATTGGAATCATGGTTGGTTTCAAGGCCACAGATGTGCCCCCTACAGCCACGGTGAAGTTCCTGGGAGCTGGGACAGCTGCCTGCATTGCAGATCTCATCACTTTCCCTCTAGATACTGCTAAAGTCCGGCTGCAGGTGAGGACGAAATGAGGCCCCCATGCTATCTAATCCGCTGTCTCCCCAGGTCAGACTCCTCAAGGGCGATGAGGAGCCTCGAGCCGGCAGGAGATTGGCAGAGCTATCCGCCTCTGCTCCTAGCCACTCCATCTTGGTCTTTCAGATCCAAGGAGAGAGTCAAGGGCTAGCGCGCACCGCAGCCAACACCCAGTACCGCGGCGTGCTGGGCACCATCCTAACCATGGTGCGCACCGAGGGCCCACGCAGTCTCTACAACGGGCTGGTTGCCGGCCTGCAGCGCCAGATGAGCTTTGCTTCTGTTCGCATTGGCCTCTACGACTCTGTAAAGCAGTTCTACACCAAGGGCTCAGAGCGTGAGTATGCAGCTAGGACACAGCAGATGGGTGACCTTAGTTTGTATAACTAAATGGCTCCTTTAGGGTTTCCAAGACCTCTGGGAGGATCAGAGGAGTGGAGAAGTGTACGTGACCCCGATTCTTTGTTACAATCTGAGCACCAGGGAAGTCTCCGCTCTGAGCAAGGTGTAAGCCCACGATAGTCCTCACAACTTCCACAGCAGTAGGTGGTCTCCTGGGTCACAGATACAGAAACTGAGACTTGAAATGGGAGAGGGACTGGGACAAAGGCACAATGGAGAGACCGTAACCACACCCCTTTACCCCGACAGCCAGCATTCTTGCATCTCCTTAATATACCGTTCTTGGAGGGGAGGGGGTTGAAATAGGGTCTCACTATTGGCCCTGGCTGGCCTGGAGTTCACACCTCAGCCTCCCAAGAGTGTCACCACACCCTTCCTAAGTGTGAGGAAACTGAGCGCCTAAGACAGGGATGCCTTTCCCAGGATCACACTGTAGGAGAGGTAGAGCTCGGCTGCGAACCTATCTCTCAAGTCCAGTTCTGCTAGGAAATGTCACTTCTCTTGATCTTGGTTTTCACAATTGTTAGTGGAACTGACTCTGATTTCCCAAGCTTAAATGAGCACATTTGAGAAAGTACTGTCTCCATTTTGTTACTCCTTGTTATAGCCCTGGGAGGACTTCGTGAAGCAAGAGCGGTCTAGTGACATGGTGGTTTGACAAGAGTATGCTGTGTGTGAGTGCAAGCCAGGCTGGCCACTGACCCCTGTGTGCCCACAGATGCAGGCATCGGGAGCCGCCTCCTGGCAGGCAGCACCACAGGTGCCCTGGCTGTCGCTGTGGCCCAGCCTACAGATGTGGTAAAGGTCCGCTTCCAGGCTCAGGCCCGGGCTGGCGGTAGCCGGAGGTACCAGAGCACTGTCGACGCCTACAAGACCATTGCACGAGAGGAGGGAATGCGAGGCCTCTGGAAAGGTGTGCGCTGGGTGTTGGCTTTCCTGTCCTCCTCTCCCCTCTCCCATGCCCTGGGCTCTCACAAATGTTCCTTCCTCTACAGGGACCTCTCCCAATGTAGCCCGTAATGCCATTGTCAACTGTGCTGAGCTGGTGACCTATGACCTCATCAAGGATTCTCTCCTGAAGGCCAACCTTATGACAGGTATGTTAGGGTCAGTAAGAGCTGGGGGTCTCATTCCCTAAAGACCACATCTTTTCATTTTATTTGCCTTTTGCTTATAGAGTTTATATTTCTAACCATTCAAATTCAGCTGGATGAAGACCCCACTTTGCACATAGAAAAACAGGCTAGAGTGGCCTAAAGGATCTTTTAAGTCCTCCTAAGAGATCCTAGCTGCAGTCTATGTCTTTAAAACCTCTCTCCTTACCAGAGAGATGACTCAATGGTTAAGAGCACTGGCTGCCCTTCCAGAGGACCGGAGTTCGATTCCCAGCACTCAGGCAGCAACTCACAGCTGTCTGTAACTCCAGTTCCAGAAGATCTGAGATCTGGTATCCTCACACAGACATATATGCAGGCAAAACATCAATGCACATAAAGTAAAAATAAATTATTTTAAAAAAAAAGCCAGGCGCTGGTGGCGCATGCCTTTAATCCCAGTACTCGGGAGGCAGAAGCAGGTGGATCTCCGTGGGTTCGAGGCCAGCCTAGTCTATTGAGCAAGTTCCAGGACAGCCTCCAAAACAATACAGAGAAACCCTGTCTCAGGGGGGGAAAAAAAAACCTCTCTCCTTAAAACTCTAGGTTTTATTTAACTTAAAACTCACGGGTGATGTTTGTCACCTATGACTGGTGAGGGTCGGCTGGGGAGAGCTGACAGCTTTTCCTGCTGCTCTCTGGCAGATGACCTCCCTTGCCACTTCACTTCCGCCTTCGGGGCGGGCTTCTGCACCACGGTCATCGCCTCCCCTGTCGATGTGGTCAAGACGAGATATATGAACTCTGCCGTGGGCCAGTACCACAGCGCAGGCCACTGTGCCCTCACCATGCTCCGGAAGGAGGGGCCCCGAGCCTTCTACAAGGGGTGAGCTTCTGACCCCCCACTCCAGGCCTTACGAAGAGAGAACCACCTGGAAGTGAGATGAAACCAAGGGTCTAACACCCCATACTTGCTGCCACCTCTTGTTTTTGTTTTTGTTTTTTTTTTAGATTAGAATGGGGATTCAGACTGGGTGGAAGGTGGCTTAGTGGTAGAGTGCTTGACCAGCATGCTTGAGGCACTGGGTTCTACTCCCCAGCTGGACAGTGAGCTGGGTACTCGGGACTCTTACTCTTGGGCGTGCATCTGTGGGGCTCTTCACCAGGTCCTGTTAGCCTCCTTTGAGACAGTCGGTGGGGTGGATGGATTGCTAGGCCCGTGGTAGACGCAGGAGGGGGAGGTGCCTCCATGACTTGTGTTTTCTCTCTCTAGGTTCTTGCCTTCCTTCCTCCGCTTGGGGTCCTGGAATGTAGTGATGTTTGTCACCTATGAGCAGCTCAAAAGGGCCCTGATGGCCGCCTACGAGCCCCGGGAGGCACCCTTTTGAGCATCTCCTGCTGCTGCCCTGGATCCTGCTGCCCTGCCCTGCCCTGCCCTACCCTGCCCTGCCCTTTTCTGCATCCTCTGCCCAGCTCCACACCGATTCCCAGTCCCTCATGTCCCTCACCTCCACTCCCTTCCCACTCATCTCCCTGCGCCTCAGTGCTGATGGCCCCATAGTGAGAAAGCCTGACACCAGCCAAGACCCCAAGCCCTTAGTCATTTTAACAGTTAAACCCAAATCTCTGTCTTCATCCCCATCCCAGCTCAGCCAGCCTTCACCCATAAAGCAAGCTCAACCTTGGTGTCTTCTATCTGTCATAAGCTGTGGTATAGAGGTCTTGGTCAATGGGCCTTCTCAGCATCTTAGCAGGCAGAGGAGGAACCCAGTGACCCACATCCTACCTCTACCATCTGGAAAAGGGTTCATGGGTGTCATCTAGTCTATTCCTCCGACCCAGCCTGGGCTCAGGTGACAGAGGAACAGCCCAAGAAGAAAGCAGAGCCTTTGCCCACCCTGCCCTTCCCTTGTGGGCCCCGTAAGCTGTCACTTGGCACCTGGCTCTCTAGACCTGCCTTCCCCAACCTTGGCCGGCCTGTCAATCTGCACAGTGAAAGTACCCCTGCCCCTGGACAACAGCTTGTTGGAAGATGTAGAGAAAGTCCAGAACCTTCTAGTCTTTGGGGCTTGATTTGCTCTGTTTCACACATAGTAACCTACCTCCCCAAGTCATAGACTACTGAGGGCAAGTTGGGCTGTCCCTAACTATGACCATACCCTGAGACATTCTCTGAACCAGGGGAACAGGGTAGTCCTGACCCACTGAAGGCTTGGGCTCGTGGCCCTGGCAAACATCCACCCTGTAGGGATTTTGTTTTGTTTTGATGTTGAGACAGGTTCTCACTCAGTGGCCCAGGCTGGCCTGGAACTCATTGTGTAGTCCAGGCTGACCTCAGCTTCCCAAGTGCTGGGATTACAGCCACCATACCTGACTTCTAAGGACCCTCTCCTGGAAGTCTTACCTTCTCCAAGCTTGGCAACCAGTCAAGACTTTGGTTGTCCAGGCTTTCAGCCATCCTCAGGCAAGAGAGGGAGGCAGAGCTGCTGCTTTTCAAGGAGCAGGGACTGGGGTCCCAGAACCCGACTGGGCCCATCAAGTCTCTGAGGCTCGTCTTATACAGGTTTCAGACATCTTATTCCTGTTTCCATTAAGGGCCGAGATAAGGCATACAGTGCTAAGGGTTCTTGGGGAATTGTTTCCAGCTGCTGTGAAGCTGGGCTTGGCCACAGGATGTCCTCCCAGCCTAAAGCTGCTGTGGCTGCTGAGCTCCTCCTTAGCTGTCCGTGAATCAGAGCTAGAGGGCTAGACCTTCCCAATGCTTGGCAAGAGGCCAGGCTGTTAGGCTGGCTCCCAGCGAAGAGTGCTCCCAGTTCTCAGCTTCTAATAACTCCAGCCAGGATCTCAAGCCTGAGGCAGCAAGCCACAATGAGGGTGGCCAGCAGTGCAGCCTGGACACAGCAAATGGAGTTCTGGTCATTGTGTTAAGTCCTTCATGGAACAGTTTACTGCCCTAGGCATGTCTTCCAACAGCTAACAAACAGTTCATTTGCCAGATGTGTGGTATAGGTGTGAGACCACTGAATTTAGGACATCAGATGACCTGAGAAGGGAGAGGCAATCATTGAAAACTGTACCAGAAAACTCCTCAGTAATATGAGTGGGTATGTGATGAGCCCTGCTTTGCCTCCCTAAATAGCCCAGCTATTGAGATGACAGAGATCTCATAAAGGTCTGTGGTAGACGCCAGGCTTCCCACAGAGCCCTCCAAGGGGGTCAGCAGCAGTGGCCTTCGAGAAGGTCAGAAGTCCTCCTTCCACAGTCTCTGTAGTGCTGGAGGCTTGCCCTCACAGCAAGCAGTTACAATCACATCGTGTCAGCCTGTCACAGAGGCAGTGAGTCACTCACCATCTGCTTCTCACAGGTCACTATGGGAGGGTTGAAATCTTTACTGGAAAAAATGGATCCGGAGGGCTGGAGAAATGGCTCAGCAGTCAAGAACACTAGCTACTCTCACAGAGGACCTGGGTTCAAGATCCAGTACCCATGCTGTAGCTCCCAGCCATCTGTAATGTCAGTTCCAGGGAGATCTGACACCCTCTTCTGGCTTCTGAGAGCACTGCATGCATATGGTATACTAACACATGTGGTACAGGCAAAACACCTTCAAAACAAAACAAAACAAAATATTTAAATAAAAAGGTGTGTGGTGGTGCACACCTTTAATCCCAGCACTTGGGAGGCAGAGGCAGGTGGATCTCTGAATTCAAGACCAGCCTAGTCTACAGAGTGAGTTCCTGGACAGCCAGGGCTATATTGTGAAATCCTGTCTTAAAAAACAAAACCAAAAAAAAAAGGGCCCAGAGAAGTAAAGTGAGTTATCTGACCCAAGGGCCATATTTGACTGCTAACCTGAGATGCTTCCTGGAGCCCCAGAGTCTTTTTTCTCTGCACTCCCCCCTGCCCCCTGTGCTGGGATTAAAGGTGTGAACCACCACCCTTAACCCCAATCTCAAGGGTTTCCTATTGCTGCCTTCATGGTGGTTCAAAGATGGCTGCAGGCAGGAGGATAATTTGAGCCCCAGAGTTTGAGGCCAGCAGGGACAAGACAGAACATCTTCAAAAACAAAATACTTGCCAAGAGCTAAGCACCCACTTAAAAAAGAACAAAGCAAATCTTTCAGTTGATCTTGGTGGCACATGGCTATAATCCAGTGTGTGGAATGATGCAGCAGGAGGATCAGGGGTTCAAGGCCAGCCTCAGCTACCTGAAACCCTGCCTCAAAATTTGAAAGGACAAAAACTGGGTGTGGTAGTTCATGCTTTTAATTTCAATATTCAGAAGGCAGAGGCAGGTGGATCTCAAAGTTTGAGGCCAGCCTGGTCTACAGAGCAAGTTCCAGGACAGCCAGGGCTATACAGAGAAACCGTATCTTGAAAAACAAAAAGAAATCTTTTTGGAAAGGTCAAGGAAAAAAAATCCTTAAACTACTATGGCACTTAGAATGGCAGGATTCTAAGCAATGTGGACAATCTAGTTTTTTGTTTTGTTTTTTCCTCACATCTCAGAAGCCATTGAACCTGCTTGCTGCCCATGAGCCTAGACCTCATCGCAGCCTAAACTCAAACCCCAGACAAGGTGATCTCCTCAGCATGGATGAGGAGCACAATGTTATGTCGTTGACTTTAAAGGCACTGGTGTGGGTCAAACAGCCCTGGCCGCACCCAGAAGCCAGACCTCCTCCAGGCCACCTGAGCAATGAATGTTGAGACCCTCTCTGTAATCTAACCATGAAATCTACTGAGAGCTTTCACACCAATGGCCTCAGGCCTCAGACCTATAGGCAGGGTGTAAGCTCTACTAACAAGGTGAGGTAATAACCAATGCAAGAGTCAGGGACAGACCTGGACAGAGCCCAACTGGGTGCCATGCCACCGGACAACTGGCCCAGAGGCAGCCTGCGACCCATCTCACAGACACGGAACCAGGGCCAGAGGCAGGGCTCTTCTGGCACTGTGTTCTGGGTGTGACTCTAACTGAAACCTGTGAGTCTATACAGTGGCCTAAGGTTCTGGTGGCAGCTTAGCCACACACTGGAGTGCAGGTACAGGTCCTGTCTCTCTGTGCTCTGCTTTGCCTGTCTCTCCATGTCTCAAGATAGCACAGTCCACAGAATGTTCCTTCTATACATATATAGAAATGGCAAGAGCAGAGGGACCTTAGACAGGGCCAGTCACATAGTCCTGCCTCATTCTACCGAGATGGAAGCAAGAGGCTCTGAGGCCTCAGGGAACAGTCCATGACTCAGAAGCCAAAACGGGGCCTCAGGTGCCTAGCTTTTTGGAATCCTACAGGAAGGCAGAACAGGAAGCATCTCTCAGCACACTCCAGGTCATAGGTAGAGGATTGGAAAGGAATCTTTATTATATTGGCCTACGGTCTCATGCTTCCTATCTTCATAGGCTGTGGCAGTGGAGTGGCTGAGGTCCAGCTAGCCCTCTCCATCCCCAGGTGCCCCAAAATTAGGTCAGCAATGCCTGGCGCAGCATCTGCTTCTTCTGGGGTGTGAGGTGGGTGGGGAATTGGATGTCAAAGAAAATGAAGAGGTCCCCCTTCTTGGTAGGGTCCTCAGGCAGTGGCATCCCCTCACCTGGCACCATCTTGAAGTACTTAGGGCTGAGAAAGGACAAAAGAGAAGATCATAGGAGACTCCGAGAGTGTCCAGTGGGTCCACACAACCTTAACTCCTAACAGGACACAGGAATGGGATGTTATTGAAGCTTCCCACAGATGGACAGTCTCACATGCCAGAAAAAAAATGGCAGCAGAGACTGGCAGCAGAGACATCACACCCCAGGAATTGTAAACTCTCCCTAGGAAGCAGAGCAGACTCTGCGGGCCGAGTCAAACCTTCCCTCTCTGGGACCTTCCTTGGAAAAAGACTTGGGGTCCATGGCTGCATTCTCTGATGAGAAGTTTGGGGGGTGGGGGGGCAAGAGAGTGACCAACACTGGGATTCTGTGGCCTCCCCTGGGGCTTCATACATATTAGAGAAAGGCATCCCTTCTGGAGGGTGAACACAGCCCACAGAGAGGTGAACACAGCCCACAGTTCAGCCAGAGAAGCTGGCAGATTTGAGTTTGGGCCTGGGAGGGAGACCCTTCTATGGCTGTAGCCTGAGCAACTCCACCCTCCAAGTATCAATTCACCCTTTCTTGTTTCTAGATGGACAGACTCACTGGACGATGTCATTGATGGGGATGTTGAGCAGACGGTCATCCAAGGTCTTCACCTCCACGGTGCAGCAGGTAAGAGCCTGGGGAGGTTCGAATGAGAGGTGGGTATGCAGAGTGTCACCACAGCCATTCTGTTTAGAAACTTCTACTTAGAAGCATTTAGGAGCCTACGTGGGTTCCAAGCCTGAGTTGGACACCAGGGAGGCAACTACTCGTGAATGCCCCGTGACCTGCCTTCCAGTTAGAAGTGTGGTAGGGCAGATTGGTGATGACAGAGTGTAAGGTTTTGCGAGGCAGAGATGACAGGCTCTGTGGGAGGAAGGCCACACAGCAGTGACAGTAGCTGAAGAGCCTCCAGGGTGAGGTGGGCAGGTATGAAAGTGTTCCAGCCAGGCAGGTAGGCTCACCCTGTGCAAAGAATGAGTCAACAGGAGCACCTTGAGGAGTACCAACTGGATATGTTGAGACAGTGGGGGCAGCAGCAGGGGCGGGACAGTGTGTGGGAAGATGGGGAGGTGGACAAGGAAGGACTGAGGGTCACAGGACCCAGTGACTTCTAGAAGTTGATGGGGGAGAAGACATGAAGCCTAAGCTGCTGCAAGTGGGGTTCAGTCTGGGTACCCACGCCCTTCTGCACTGTACCCACTCACCTTGCCCAAAGGAATGGGGTACACAAAGAAGAGGTTGTCAAGCTCCCTGCGGAAGCGAGGGTGTAACTTTTCCTTTACGATGAAGATAATATCAGCCGGGATAATGTTGGGGCCCTGGGCAGGGAAAGCCATGGGATAACAGGTTTATTACTTGTATGAGTTGGCCAAGTGCCTGCCTCTACTTGCCTCCAGGTCTTCAGCTGTGCAATGGAGAATTATGCCCAGTTTTCTAGAGGGGGCATTCTGTGTGCCCTCAGGCCACTCCCTAGAGACACCTACCTGGATCACTCCCTACACCCGAAGTACTTCTCTACGGAGCATGCCCAAAGTAAACATGCTCCGTGGTATGGGGCAGGGACTTCCTCGTGTGACAGCTGGACACCGAGCTGGCCCAGACAACTTCCCTGCCTGACAATAACCCAGCAATGATTTCTCTGCTTCAGTGAGGCACCCTGAATACCAACCTTTCTTCTAGCTACTGCAGACAGAAAATGAGGTTGGCTGCAGCTTCCAGTGCAAGAAATAGCCAGATGGTAAATCCTTAGCAACCTCAAGGCCAGGGTAAAGGGAAGCCCAGAGGCTGGGCTCTGAGGAGACCTGGGCCATATGTGGAGATTGGGAAATGCTTCCCAGCGTGGGGGATGTTGGCACTGGGTATCTGTGTGCTTTCCCACTTGAGGATGACAGGGCCTCACTCTGTCGCCCAGAATAGTCTGGGATTCACTATATCACCCAAGTTGACACAGTCACCAAGGCTGAACATGAACTCCTAGGCTCAAGTGATCCTCCTGCCTCAGCTTCCTGAGTGGTTTCAACCCCCAGTGAACCATGTTGAAGGGCGATTGTTGGAAGCAAGTATTTTAAGGTGAGAAAGAGGACAGGTATGGGCAAGGGAATTCATCTCTCTGGGCTCTGAGCTCTCCATCACTCCACTTCATGTCAGCATGTAAGGACTCGGCACCCTAGCATAATAATTTGATGTTTTCCACAAGTATTGTAATTCTAAATCATTAATGGAATGCTTCTGAGAAGCCTCCCTCCTGGGGCTTTCTTGGGGATTACTACCCAAGAACACTGGAGGGGAGGCCGAGTCTCCTGCCAGCTACATGTGTGCATGCCTGTGTGTGTGTGTGTGTGTGTGTGTGTGTGTGTGTGTGTGTGTGTGTGTGTGTGTAATGGCATATATTCATGTATGTGTTGGGGGACTAGGAGTTCACATCGGGTGTCTTCCTCAATTTCTCTCCACCTTATTTTTTGGTCCTAGAGGACACCAGTTCCGCTAGACTGACTGGCCAGCAAACCCCAAGGACCTTCTGTCTCTCTGCTTGCCAGCACTGGGATTACAGGGGCGCCTGGCTCTAATTGGTGCTGAGGGTCAAGTCTAGGTCTCCATCCTTGGGTGGCATTGAGCCACCTCCCTAAGCCCTTCTTTTAGCTTTTTGTGTTTTTGTTTGTGTTTTTGTTTGTTTGGTTTTGGTTTTTCAAGACAGGGTTTCTCTGTGCAGTCCTGGCTGTCCTGAAACTCACTCTGTAGACCAGGCTGGCCTTGAACTCACAGAGATTCACCTGTGCCTGCCTCCCAAGTGCTGGGATTAAAGGTGTGCACCACCACCACCCACCACCTTTTGCGTTCTTATCTTGAGCAAGTCCCTTCCTTCCATCCTGAGGCCTCACTTTTCCCACCACTGTGTAAAATGGTGAAGTACTCCCAAGCTGCATTCACAGAAGCATTTTGAGGCTTTGTCCTTGGGACGAAACTCTAGAGACATCTCACTCTACTAGATCAGAGCTTGTAGGAACTGGAGAAAAACATGGTCTCCCTCCCTCTCAGTCCTCCCAGCATGTGAGTCTGCGGACTGACCCCAGACAGCTTCTGTCCGTCTCACCTGGTCACCTTCCTTCTCAAAGGTGATGCGTGTGCCCTGCCTCCAGCCAGGCCTCACATCGATTGTCAGGATCTTGTCCTTGATGGTAGAGGAATACTTGTCTTCGTTTAGCACCTACAGCGTTAGGGGCGGGGTGTGGGGAATTAGCTCAGGAAGGCTCTGTGGAGTCCATGCCTAGACAGTACCCACAGCAATAGGGATGAATTGCCAGAGTCATCTCCACTCCCTTCCCTCTGCTGCTGCATCTAAGAGCTTGTGACTCTCCAAGGAAGGCTTGTCCGCAGGCTGGTGGAGCTGTGGCCTGGGACGCCAGTCACCAAGAGCCCTGGCCACCAACAGGAACACAGTGAAAGGTGCTTCTCTCCAAATCCCAGAAGTCTGCCTAATCCCAAGTCCTCCCTTCCCTAATGCAGGCTCCACTGCCCCTCGCTGTCTTGTACAGGACCACTAGAGACCCAAACTTCCGTTTCTAGGAAGTTACTGCCGGTCACAAGAGTGCAGAGGGCAAGATATTGAGCCTCATACAAAGCATCCACCCATCATGTCCCCGTCCCAGGAGCCCACGGTGCCACCTTTGGAAAGCTTGAGCACAACAGGCATCTCCCAGAGGCAAAGGGGAGGAAGAGATCTGGGCCACAGGCCAGGGTCAGGCCAAGGACTGAATGCTGCAACAGCTGCTCACAAAGGTCTTCCCTATGAGGCTACCAGTCCACCTCCATGTCCACCCTGTGGCCATGCACACACTCCTCTGCATGTGGTCTGGAAATGCCCTGGAATGGAATTCATAGGAGACTCCTCACACTCCTACTCCTCCACTCTCCACAAGGGTGGGGCTGGACTGAGAAGGGGTGGATCCTGTCTCCATGAGGTGGCTGCAGAAGTGACTGACTGCTGTACAAGAAGGGTGAATTCCCTCAATTATTCATTTCGAATTTCAGATTCTAGAGTTCTAAAATCTAAAATTACCGAGCTTCTTGGTCTAAGGTTTGGTAGTTCCATCAGAAAGAATCTCCGAGTTTTCCTGTTGGGGAGAGGGGGAGGTGACAGGGAGGTTTCTAGTGTTAGGTGGTGCCTGCTAAGAGGAGAAAGCTTACCCTTCGGGAGATCTTAATCTTCTTGGTGCAGCCGAAGAATAAGTCCTCCAGGGACAAATAGAGGTCTCGTTCGATTGGAGGGTCTTGTTTCTGGACTCCTCGGCCCCGAAGCCCCCCAAAATTCAAATCTATATCACTTCCTTCTGCATCAAAAAATTCTAAAGGAGATAGGAAAAAGAGTAACAGCATTGATGTCCAAAGACACATATCAGACAGGTGACAGACAGAAAGACAGGTACACACACACACACACACACACACACACACACACACACACACACACACACACCCCTACCTACCCTGCATTCCCTTGAACCTCTTCAGTGCCCCAGGACTAAAGTTCAGCTCATCATTCCCACTCCTCAGAGCCACAGACCAAGGGACTATTTGTTTCATTTCATTTGGTGATCCTCCTAACCCAATCTCCTGAATGCTGGGATGACAGGTGTGTGTGGCTTCAAGAAGCTACCATTAGCTCTTAGCTACAGACCAGCAACATCAGACCTGCCAGGCCCCAGTGCCTCCTGGGACTCCACAGAGCCAGGTGCTGGTCGCTCCTGCTTCATGAACAAACTAAGGCACTACTCTAAGTGGGAGATCCTGGCAGTGCCGAGAAGACTCTGTTCAGAGTGGGTCAGACTGCCTGTCCACTCTACTTCTCCAGGACCTACTGGGCCCTCTCTGCCCACCCCCATGACTGTTCCAGACAAGCAGACCCAAGCTCTCTGGTTTACTAGCTGACATGAAAAGGATTTGGAGGTTGATGGCAACTGTGAGTGGTCACCAGCATGCCTCAGTCTCCCTTTCTCACCCTCATCTATCCCTGCCTGCCCTCCATCCAAACCTGCCTGATGCCGTTGCCTTTAGCCTGGTGGCGGCAAAAGAGATACCCTTCCCAATCTGCTTGGAGTACTGTAATCCTTTGGAACTCAGTTTTCCAGTCTGTGGTATGGGGTAATGCTTGCCCTACCTACACCGTTAAGATGAACAGCTGAACCCTGGGAGAGCCTGCAGTGAATCAGGCTCTGGACTCAGTAACTTTCCTCTTTATTTCATTACGGGAGAGGCTGACAGAATGCTCACAGCTCCACAGCCAGTGAGTAATGAAGTTGGAACCTATACCACACGACCACTTGGCCACAGCATCTGTGGCCTTGGCCACTATGATATATTGCTAGATGTGGGGTCCTCTGTAGACTGCCGAGTAAGAGGGCCCTTTGTACTCTGGAGTCAGAGGTGGCTGTTATATACCCCACTTCTCATGGTTAGGGCCGTGGAATGAGTGTGTCAACCTAGATGGTAAAGTGTTCAACAGTAGGGGATGTGCAGGGATTTAAGATGTGATGGTCTGGAGTCAGTGTCACGGCTTAGCGAGTAAAGGCACTTGTCACCAGGCCTGAGGTGGGAGGAGACAACTGACTCGTGAGGGTGGTCCTCTGATTTACACTCTACATAAATTAGTGACAGATCTTTTTTAAAAAAAGATCAAGAAAGTAGTTCCATGACAAAGTCTTCTCAACCTTCCTAACTGTGACTCTCTGATACAGTTCCTCATGTTGTGGTGACCCCAACCATAAAATTATTTTTGCTGCTACTTTGTAACTACACTTCTGCTACTGTTATAAGTTGTAATGTAAACATTCTTGAAGACAGAGGCTTGGCAAAGACTTGGTAATTTTGCTGCTGTTATAATTTGTAATGTAAATATTCTTTAAGATAGAAGTTTGGCAAAGGTGTTGCGACCCACAGGTTGAGAACTACTGCTCTGACTATACAAGGCCCCGATTTCAATCCTGAGCAGCGCAGACTATCTTTAAAGACAAGAGATTTCTGGAGGAACATGGAGTGTGCTAACACCAAGTGGCTACATCAAGGAGGAGAAAGGAAACGGAGGGCTAGGATATTTTCAGTGAGTTCCATTTGAATCTTGGTGCAGTGGTTTACGTGTGTGATCCCAGCACTTGGGAGACTGGAGAATTTGAATCCAGCCTGGGTTAAAAAGAGAGTTCCTGCCTCAGATAAACAAATATACAATTCCTTTTCTCTCCATGTACTGTGTTTATTTCTCAAAGAGATAAAACCAGGCTAGATGGGGTAATTCTAGCACTTGGGTAGCTAAACCAGGATTGCCATGAACTCAAAGCCAACTAGACTACAAAATGAATTTGGAGTTCCATGCACTACAGAACGAGACCACACCTAGAAGGCTGCAGAGATGGCTCAATGGTAAGAGCTCTCATAACTCTGGCAGAGAACCCAGATTCAGTTCCCAGTACCCACATGAGAGTTACAACCGTCCCTAATTCTAGTTCCAGGGGATCTGATGCCTTATTCTGACCTCCTTGGGCACCAAGCACACACATGTGAGCATTCCTACAGGCAAATAAAATAAACAAATCTAAAATTAGAAAAACAGCCGGGCGTTGGTGGCGCACGCCTTTAATCCCAGCACTTGGGAGGCAGAGGCAGGCGGATCTCTGTGAGTTCGAGGCCAGCCTGGTCTACAAAGTGAGTTCCAAGACAGCCTCCAAAGCCACAGAGAAACCATGTCTCGAAACAACCAAAAAAATAAAATTAGAAAAACAAAGAAAACTGGGTGTGGCAGCACATGCTTGTAATCCGAGCACTTGGGAGGCAGGGGATCAGGAGTTTAAAGTCATCCTTGGCTAAACATGGAGTCCATGGCTGGCCTGGGGTACATGTTTCAATAACAACAACAATAATAATAATAATAATAAATACAGAATAAATAAAAAGCAACCAAACATAACCACCAAGAAAGGTATTTTCTGCAGCTGTGCTCTTTACCAGTAAGCAAGGGGTAGGGTGGGATTCTTACCACTGAAGGGGTTGTCTCCCCCAAAAAATTCATGAAACACTTTTCCAGGGTTGCCATGGAAGACGTAGCCTGTTGTCCATGGAGTCTGGGATCCAAACTCCAGAGGAATCCCACCCTTCAGGCCTTCCTCGCCAAACTTGTCGTAGATGCCTCTCTTCACAGCTGTGGATACATGTGACCTTGAGGAGGGATCGGGGTGTTCGTGACTGGAGAAGCTGGGGGGTAGTGAGAGAGCTCGGGAAGGCGATGGGCAAGGACAGATCCTGCAACCTGCTGCCTGAAAGTCTCTAGAAGTTAGCGTGTCAGTGTCACTCTGTGTGAGTTTCAGAGACATTCATCTATCCTATAGATTCTATAGGATGGCCAGAAAGCCAATGAGAAAAATTCTCCTGGGATGGGCTTTCAGGAGGACGTGGGAGACTGAGGGTCAGGCACATACTTGGGTTTGGCCTAACTCAGTCTTGGGAGGGAGACTAGAATTCTAAAACAATAAAATTTTAGAATCTAAGAATTCCCAACTTGCACCGGGTGTTGATGGTGCTCACTTTTAATCCCAGCACTTGGGAGGCAGAGGCAGGTGGATCTCTGTGAGTTTGAGGCCAACCTGGTCTACAGAGTGAGTTCCAGGACAGGCTCTAAAGCAATACAGAGAAACCCTGTCTCAAAAAGCAAAAACAAAACTAGCAAACAAAAACAAAACTAAACTAAAACAACAACAACAAAAAAGAATTCTCAACTTGAAAACTTTAGAGTCCTGAAAAGACAGGGCTGGAGAAGTTACAATTGCAGTCCTCAAACCAGCCCTTAGAGAAGCCTGCTGGGCCCCCAAGACCAGTCCCTAGAGACTCCAGCTGTTCTTTGCTGGGTGGGATCGCCCTCATCACACGCAACTCATTTCCAAAGAGTGATTCGCTATGGTTTAATGCTCTCTGTGGTTGTGTGCTCCTGCTGTCCCAGAAGGTAGTCTGGGAAGGATAAGTGAGAATGGCTGCTACTCCTCAGCCCTCTGCCCCAGCAGCCAGCATATTCCTCCAAACCTCAGGAAGGCTCCTTTCTGCCTGATTGGAAGCAGGGGAACATGCCCCATTTGCGCACTGCCTCATCTGGGGGAGCGATAAGCCTATCTACCTGATGGCCCGGTGTGCTCTCAGTTTGTCTAGATCCTGGGCAGGGAAGATGTTGCTTACTATCTCCTGTTCTCTGCAGAAAACCTGACTGCCTAGACACTTGAGGGGTAAGTGACAGCCCCATCATCACTCACGGTCGCTCAGCACATCATAGGCTTCTGCTATTTGCCTGAATGTCTCTGGTGCAGATGGCTCATTTGACTTCAATGGGTGGTTCTTCAGGGCAAGTTTCCGGTACCTAGAGGAGGGAGGACATGTAAGTCCTTGTCTCTGGCCTGCTTCTGGGGGCTGGAGCACGACACAGGGCTGACTTTTGCTATCTATCTTTGTTATGAACCGTGGAGAGCAGCACCGTTATCAGTGGCTGTGGACAGACATCAGTGACTGTGGGGTGTACTGCTCGGATCTGTGGAAAGAGAACTTGGGGTAGAGAGCACAACTGACTGGCAGCCCTGACAGCTGCCACCTAGACATCTGTTCTGAGGCTACTTGTCCCCTTAGCTCCCACAGACAAGACCTAGTGCAGGTGAGATTTTGGGACAGTCCACCTATGAGACACAGGACACCCCAGCGTTAGCTTTTGGTCACTGTGACAAAATAACTGAGAAAAACAACTTAAAAGGGGGAAATGCTCATTTTGGCTAACAGTTTCCATCCATGGTTGGCTTGCACTGCTGCTTCCAGGCTGAGCACCATGGCAGAGGTAAAGCTGCTCACCTGCGTGACAGCCAGGAAGGAGAGCCAGAAAGAGAAGGGAGGGGAGGAAAGAGAGAAGAAAGGAGAAAAAGGAAGGGGGAGGGGAGGAAACAGATGGAAGAGGGAAGAGGAAGGAAAGGGAGAAAACAGGAGGGAGAGGGAAGGGAAGGAAAGAGAAACATGGAGAGGGAGGGTCTGGGGACAGGACATCAGAGGCAATCTCCAGAGACCTGCTTCTTCTAATAGTCCCTGCCTGTTCCAACATGAAGGGATTAATCTCTTAATCAGTTAATGACTAATTAATGACAAAGTTTATATCCTCATGAGCCACTTGTTTCTCAGCAGCACAACCTGCTAGGAGCCAAGTCTTTGCATATGAGCCTTTAGAGGGGTGGGCTCTTTTTGTTCAAACCGCAGCTTCCTCTGTCAACCTGGATTGAAGATTCCCCACAGGCCACACTTCGCTCTCCCTACCTAGCACTTCCTTCCCTTTCATTTCACAGGTCTGGGGCCATCACTGAAGTCTGCAGTCTCCCTCTGCTTGCAGGTTCGGGCCGAACACTATTTCCGTCTAATTTAATCTCGGTGTCTACTTCACAGAGGACCAGGACCGACACAGGATTCTCAGATGTATGACAAGACCTCTGGTCCCATCAAGCCTTGACACTCTCTTCCTGTCCCACTTACTGTCTGCCATCCCACCACTCAGCCCCAGCATGCCTGCAGCATCTGAGGACATGCTGTGTAAAGAGAGAAGAGATGGGCGGAAGCTCTGTGGAGTGTTTAATAAAGGGATCACTCGCCAAGGTGCAGGAAGGAGACTATGAAAAACACAGTGCAGCACCTGAGTTAGATATGCTGGGGCATGCTGGCCATCCGGACTCTAGGAGGGATAGCAGGGAGCTGGACTGAACCCTGAAGATGTGGACATAGCCTGGCAGGAGCTGAGACCATCGGTGTGAGATTTGAGCAGCCTGGAGAGCATTCATAGCAAGGAAGCAGTGATGTAAGGGCTGGAACTTGCCCTCCTCCTCTAGCCTCTTGCTACACCCCCCTCTAGAAGAAGGTACAGGGGAGGCATGTGGCATGGAAGCCTGCTACTGCAGGGCGTGGCAGAGAGGGCAAAAAGAAAACATCGAGCCAAGTCACTGAGTCCCAGTTTGACCCCACACAGTCCCTGCTGGGTCTGATCCGGGCTCCTGTCCCTGCCCAGCCCTCCCACACAGCCGTCTGGAGTTCCGGAGTCTCTTCTCATTTCACAGTCTGCAGGCTGAGCTCATCTCTCACACAGCTAATGCCCACCTCCTACCAGCCTGCTTCCCTGAGCTGCAGACATTCGTGCCCCGACACTATCTTCCCCCAGATCTTGCAAGCGTGCCAGACCCACAGCCCAAGCAGGGCCCTCATTTCTCCCCAGGTGCCACAGCTGTTGTTCTAAGCACAGTCTGTGACTCCCATCCCAGTAATCACCAAATCTCATCACTTCTCTTCTTAAACACTCTGCCCTGCCTCTCCTTCCTGCAGTGGTGGCAGAACCATGTCTCCCTGCAAACACAATAACCCAGTTCTATCCTGTTGGGAGCTGCGAGTGGGTTTCCCCCTCTATCCCTTCCTCCTACCCCTCCTTCCTTCCTTTCTTCTCTCCTTCCTCTCTCCTCTCTCTCTTTTCTTTCCCCTAAAATACTATGACATCACTCTCCCACTGAACCTCTTCCCACTCATTTCCCTGTTGCCTTCAGCAGGCAACCCAGATACCTCGAGCTAAGGTTCAAGCCCCTACTTTCTCTCCACAATAACATCTCTTTTCTCATCAGCTGTCTTGAATGGGAGAGAAAGGATGACGTCATGGTTTAAAATGTACGATGTGAAGCCAGGTGTGGTAGTATATGACTGGGAGGCAGAGGCAGGCAGATCTCTAAGTTTGAGGCCAGTCTGGTCTTTATAGAAAGCAGCCAGGGCTACATAGATCCTGTCTCAAAAACAAACAAACAAATAAATGCTGTGTGTGTGTGTGTGCGTGTGTGTGTATGTGTGATAATGAAACAGGGTGTTTGGTACGATGGATACATGCTAATTAAAAGGGTGAATGAGTGATACTGAAGATGTTGATAACTTGTTGATCAGTGATCAGCATCGCTATACGGGCTCAGTATTTTGTGAGTGTATGTGCATGCATGTGTATGGAGGCCAGAGGCCAACGTCAGTTTTCCAATTTTTATTTTATTTCATATTTTATTTTTGAGACAATCTCCCTCACTGTCCTGGGGCTCACAAATTCCACTACAGCAGCTGGTCCTTAAGTGCCAGGGATCTGCGTGTCTCAGGACATCCCCACGAGAGAGTGCAGCACTCACAAAGCTCAACCCTTAAAAGTTGCTCCAGTGGAAGAGTTATGGCCGTCAATAGGAACATGCAATTCTTTTCATCACTCTCACCTCACATGCTTCCATCTGCCAGGGATTTCTGGGTATTTTTATATGCAGTATCTCATCTGATCCTGTTTTAATATGGAAACAACTCCTGTCCTTTAAAAACCGTGGTGTGTGTGTGTGTGTGTGTGTGTGTGTGTGCGCGCGCGCGCGCGCGCGCGCGCAGCGTGCGTGCAGGTTCACATGTGGGCACATGCATGTGGAGGTGGAGGCCAGAGGACAACCTCTCCTCTTGTCCCTCTGTCCACCTCAGCTATTGGCACAGCCTCTCACTGACCTTGGACTCTCCAAGTAGGCTAGGCTGACTGTCCAGGCAGCCTTGGGAATTCACCACCTTCCCTCCTCTCCAGTGCCGGGGTACAAATGAAGCACAGCTTCTTTCTGGCTCAGGTCCTCCTGTGTGAGCAGCAAACACTCTACCAACTAGACCATCTCCTTATCTCCCAGGTCTGTCTCTGCCTCGACACTTGTGGTTTTTAAAGAGATTAGAAACTCAGGCACAGGCCGGGCAGTGGTGGTGCATGCCTTTAATCCCAGCACTCGGGAGGCAGAGGCAGGCGGATCTCTGTGAGTTTGAGGCCAGCCTGGTCTACCGAGTGAGTTCCAGGACAGCCTCCAAAGCAATACAGAGAAACCCTGTATTAAAAAAAAAAGAAGCTCAGGCACAGAAAGCTTGAGTAAGTGTGTCAAACTTGGTGTCTATCACTGTGCTGAAACACTATGTCTACGAGCAACTTGGGAAAGAATGGTTTTATTGTATCTTACACTTCTGCAATCAAATCAAATCTTCCATCATCAAGGGAGGTCAGGACAGAAACTCAAGGAGGGAACCTGGAGGCAGGAGCTGATACAGAGTCCATGGAGGATGCTGCTTACCCTTCTTGGCTTGCTCAACCTGCTTTCTTGTAGCACCCAGGAGTGACCCAGCCCATGATGGGCCATATCAATCCCTAATTAAGAAAATGTACCTTGACTGGGCTTTGGTGGTGCACGCCTTTAATCCCAGCACTGGAGGGGGGGGGGGGCAGAGGCAGGTGGATCTCTGTGAGTTCGAGGCTAGCCTTGTCTACAGAGTGAGTGCCAGGATAGGCTCCAAAGCTACACGGAGAACCTTCCCAAAAAAAAAGAAAGAAAATGCACCTTGCCCACCAACCAATATGGTGGGAACATTTTCTCAATCAAGAGGCCCTCTTGACTCTAGCTTGTGTAAAGTTGACATAAAACTAGCCAGGGCAGTTGGTGTCCCAGTAACTAAGCTCTGTTTATCTTTGTTTGCCATGGTAACCTTTCCTTTGCTGAGTTCCCCTGGCCACCTGCTTTTGCTCATGACAACCTTCCACTTGATAAAATCACTGGCCAATGAAAGCCCTGAGTAGTGGGTGACATCATCCACTCTACCAAATTGTTCTCAATTGTTTAGTGAGTTTATCTTCTTTCTCTTTCCCTCTGAACTTCAGTCCACACAAGAACCTGTCCCAGGGAGGCAGGGATGGTGTCTCATTTCTGATTCCATTAGTCACATGCAAGCTCCTGGGATGACAATGGCATTTACCTCTCAGGGTCACTTGAGGATTAGGTAAGACAACGATAGAAGTCTCAGAAAAGCACCTCCATGTTCAATACAGGCAGCTGGTGTACCCGCAAGTCTCAAGTTGCCTCAGATGCTTCCTTTTTCTTTATACCTTTGATTACACAATTAATTGTCAAGTTCAGTCTCTCCTTCCCAGCCTACTACAGAGCCTTAACCCTCCTTCAGGCCTTGATTTGGCTTAATTATCAGGGCAGCCTCTCAAGAAGCTGCTCGTCCCTCATCACAGCCTCAGGATTCTCTTTAACAATGCATACTCCGCCGTGACAAGGACCTGCACTGTGCACAACCCAAGAGGTTAGCGCTCAATACATTCTTGCCCAAAACTTTTTGCCAAAGAAAGAAAGTTTAAAGACAAAAAGTTTTCAGAAATACAGTCTGACTTCTGTCCTGGATGTTCCCCCATCACACTTACCCCTCGTCTTTTGAACAGAGCCTTGCTATGCAGCCTGTGCCACCCAGGCTGACCACAAACTATTTGGGGATTGCAGGCAGCTGCCATCACACCTGTACTGGACTTTCACAAAGTCCCGAGAGTTGTCAGAGGTATTCAGAGAGAGTATCAGTCAGTGACAAAAACCCATGTGCCGAACAGAATGGAAACTGTGATATCCACTTTTCCAGGTCATTTCTGGTTCATGGTCCTGTAATCTCCTTGAGACTCGGGGTACGGTCCGAATGATCCTTTGTTCTCATTTCATAGCTAGGAATATGGACATGACCCAAGAGGGGCTAAGGGGCATGATGATTGGGCACGGGGAGCCCAGTCGTGCACTAAGGGTGTTTCTGAATTTCCATTCTGTGTCCTGACCAGCCCAAACCAGGATAAAAGAAGGCAAGAAGAAAGAGGTGCCCTTTCTTGCCCTAGATTGTGCAGGGAAGCCGTTTGGCTGACATCAGGGTGGGGTTGCCTCAGCAGGAGCCAGGCTCCGATCCCGCCCACTTACGCCTTCTTGATCTGAGCATCCTCTGAGTTGCGAGTGACCTGGAGCACAGCATAGTAATCTATCCCCATGGCTGGTAGCAGTGGATCAGTTTTTCTTCAGACTCCTGCCTCTGTTAGTTTGCGGTCTATGGTTGCCCCTGGTAACCACGTGGGGTACTCTGGGAACTGTAGTCTTTCCGTCTTGAACAAATGGCCCCGCGGTGTTCATAGCTGGTTTTGTGACCACCCATAAAGGTCACACATCTCAGAAACCGGAGTCCCTGAGCACTTTTTTAATTTTTAGTACAGCAACTGCCTTGAATTTAAAATTTTCAGAACAAATCCGGGTGTAGTGGTGCAACACCTTTAAACCCAGCTCTCAGCACAGGCAGTTGGACCCCTGGGCTGGAGGCTAATCTGATCTACATAGTGAATTCCTTGTGAGTCAGAGGTCGTTCAGGGATTCACCAGTCTGACTCAAGTTTTAGTTTTAGTAAATTAGTAAACTTTAGAGGCTTTTTATTAAAAAGAGGCTGGCCAGGATAAACTAGAGAGTTCTATAAGTAAGGTCCTGGTTATTGTTAGTCAAAGGATTATAAAAAAAGACAAAGTTATAGTGTGGGGGAATCAAATTAATTCATCTCTTGTCTGGGTATGGGCAAGATCTGATTTTGTTTTGTTTTTTGTTTTGTTTTGTTTTGTTGTTTTGTTTTGTTTCTTTTCAAGACAGGGTTTCTCTGTGTGGCCCTGGCTATCTTGGAACTTGCTCAGGCTGACCTCAAACTCATAGAGATCCGCCTGCCTCTGACTCCCAAGGGATTAAAGGTGTTTGCCACCACCGCCTGACTAGGGCTTGATTTTGTAACAGGCATACAGCAGGTGTGTCAGCACCCAAGCAAGGGTTTCATACAGAAGCAGAATTTAGCAGTTAGCCTATTTAGTCTTGAGACCCATTTACCTTGTAGGAATAGCTGAGGCAGTGATATATTTTGTAACAATCAGCATTTTTTTTTTTTTTTGGTTTTTCGAGACAGGGTTTCTCTGTGGCTTTGGAGGCTGTCCTGGAACTCACTCTGTAGACAGGCTGACCTCGAACTCACAGAGATCCGCCTGCCTCTGCCTCCCTAGTGCTGGGATTAAAGGCGTGCGCCACCAACGCCCGGCTACAATCAGCAATTTTTTAAGAATAGCCCAACTGCACCAGAAAGTGGTTCATATCCTGACAGGGAACATTCAAGATAGTAGTAACTTCCTCATAGATTATACAAGTTAAAAACATTTTGTTTTCACAAACCTAGCTCAAGTAAATTTGTCCTTTAAACATTAATATTCGCAAGTTCCAGAACAGCCAGAGCAAAATAATGAGACCTTGTCTTAAAAAGTTTTTTATTCTGTTTTTTAATTTTTTTTAATTTTTTTTTTTTTTTGGTTTTTCGAGATAGGGTTTCTCTGTGGCTTTGGAGGCTGTCCTGGAACTCGCTCTGTAGATCAGGCTGGCCTCGAACTCACAGAGATCCGCCTGCCTCTGCCTCCCAAGTGCTGGGATTAAAGGCATGCGCCACCAACGCCCGGCTGTTTTTTAATTTTTAAAATTTTGTTTTTCAGAACAAGCTGAGTATGATAGCTCACACCCATGATCCAAGCACTTCGGAGTGAGGCAGGAGGATTGCCCTGAGTTTGAGGCTACACAATGAGAGTAGAGCTTGCTTTGGTACTGGAGCAAATTCTTTTCTCTAAAAACAAATTTATTTGACTGAGTTTTAAAAATTGTAGAATAGTTTTGTATTTTCAGAAAAACAAGGAAGATTAAAATGTTCTCATATAGCCTACACACAGCCTCCCCCTATTAATATCTTACATTAGAACAGTACATTTTCTGGGGGCTGGAAAGATACCACAGTAGTTAAGAGCATGTACTGTGCTTGTGCAGAACCTGAGCCAGACCTGAGCTCACTTCCCAGCACCCACACTGGGCAGCTCCTAACCTCTGGTAACTCCAGCTTTGGGGGATACGATACCCTCTTCTGTCTTCCATGGTCAACTGTACTCACCTGCACATAATCACACAGAAACCCGTCTTACTTTTTTGAGGCAGTGAGTTCCGTGAGAGTCTGGCCAGTAGGTCTCCCAAATCCTCCTGTCTCTATCTTCCAACCATGAGCTTCCAGGCATGCACTGACCTGCTTAGCTGTTTACATGGTGCTGGGGACCTGAACTCAGAACCTCATAGTTATTGGGCAAGGACTTTACTCTCTGAACCACTTCTCCAGTCCCGTTTTAAAAAACGTTCTAACATTTACTTTGCGCTGCAGCACACGCATGAGTACGTGTGTGGGGGGGGGGTACATGTGTGGGTCAACTGAGCGCTAAGGACCAGCCCATGTCATCAAGTGTGGCCCCAAGTTCTCTTGCTCACTGAGCCATCGTGATGAGACCACTCTCCACCTTTTTACAGTCTCACTGGAACTTGCTTCCACCCTCTGCCTCTGTGTCCCAACAGCTGGAATTACATGTGCATATCACGTTTTGTATGATTCTTGTAATATTTCCTACAAGACTGAAACCGTTTAAAAATAATAAGACTCGCACAAAAAGATATGTTCTCCAAAGAAGCTGAGGACATTGGCACGGAGTGAAAGACAACACAGGAGGCATTTCTCACTAGAAAGCACGAGGGGGCGCTGGAAAGCCGAGAAACAGGTCTTCGCAGCCGACTGTGCTGCTTCTTTCTCCACAGTGGACAAAAGGACTGAGAACCAGGGACCTGTCACAACCAGGATGCCAACTCTGGAGACCTTATGGAAAGCAGAGTGGTGTAGGGACTGGAGAGACAACGGAAGCGCACTTGCTGTTCTTGCAGAGGACCTGCGTTTGATTCCCATCAATTACTGTCTTAGATAGGGCTTTATTGCTGTCAAGACACCACAGCAACTCTTATAAAGGAAAACATTTAATTGGGCTTGCTCACAGTTCAGAGGTTTAGTCCATTATCATCATGGTGGGGAGCATGGTGGCCAGCAGGCAGACATAGTGCTGAGGAGGACCTAAGAGTTCTACATCTGGATCTGCAGGCAGCAGAAGAGAAAGTGAGGCACTAGACCTGGCTTGAGCTTCTAAAACCTCTTCTAAAACTTCAAATCCCACCACCAGTGATAGACTTCCTCCAGCAAGGCCGCACCTACTCCAACAAAGCCACACCTTCTATAGTGCCACTCCCTACAGGCCCATGGGGGCCATTTTCATTCAGACCACCATACCCACATTAGCCGGTTCCAAGGGATCCAGTGCCTCTGGCCTCTATGGGCACCTACAGCACTCACATACCACAGTAATTCTTTTTATAAAGGTGTATGTGAGCAGTGGTGGCACACACTTTTTATCCCAGCACTTGGGGGGCAGATCTCTGTGATTTTAAGGCCAGTCTAGTCTACAGAGCTAGTTCTAGAACAGCCAAGGCTACACCAAGAAACCTGGCCTCAAAAGTTGATAGATAGATAGATAGATAGATAGATAGATAGATAGATAGATAGACAGACAGACAGATGGTGTGTGTGTGTGTGTGTGTGTGTGTGTGTGTGTTGTTTTTGATGGCCATGTGGGAGACTAAGCCATACCCTAAAACAGGAACTCATAGTCACTGGCTGTATGGATTACACCAATGCCCCCCTCATCTTGTTTCCTGTCTTGTTTCTAATTTGATAACTTACTTAAATTATTACCTTAAAGTTGGCAGTGAAATCTCAGATTTATGTAGCATTTTGTACCTAGTAGTTTTTGTTTGTTTGTAGGTTTTTTTAAACAAATGCCAGTACGGCCACATGCAAATTCATTTTGTTTTTGTACCAATTAGTTAATATTTATAGAGTGCTCAAAAGGTGTAAAAATTGCTTGCATTGTTTTGTTTTTAAAAAGAAAGCATGGAAACTGGAGAGATAGAGACAGCTCGGGGTTTAAGTGCTTCCTCGGTGAGGACCCTGCCCTAATGAATAATGCAGGAAGACCAACGGTGAGGGGACACTCTTCTTCTTTCTAAGGGACACAGGTCTGGAAATGATAATCTCGCACCAGACTGTCTGTACAGCATGTGCAAATCTGGCTCATCTGTGTGGCAATCTGGGACAAGAATTCATAGGTCAAAGGAAGTCTAGTATTCTTTCATCTCAAAAGGTAGGCCCGGGAGACTCCAGGGGAGGCTCACTGGTTAAGAGTACTTGCTATTTGGCAGAGGGCCATGTTGGGCAGTCACAAACGCCTGGAACTTCAGTTCCAGTGCCCTCTCCGGGCCTCTACAGCACCCACATAGGTGGCATACAGACACACACAGAAATAAAAATAAATCTTAAACAAAAACAAAAGCGATTTAAAAAGTAGAACCCTATTATCCTTTATTAACCCAAGGGAGTCTGAGAGGTAGAAGGGTTATTTAGTGGTTCCTACATCCAGGCTGACCTCAGACTCCCTCTGTAGCTGAGAATGACCTTCTGATCTTCCACCCACCACTCCAGAGTGCTGGGAGTACAGCTGTGTGCCACCATGCCCAGCCTGAGTCTCAGAAATTAATTGACCACAGGAGTAAGAGATGGGCCGTCATCAATGTGTTTACAGCACCTCTGACCAGATCAATGGCGCACTTATGAAAGGGAACAGAGGAACTGACTGTCTCGAGTGGAATGAAACCCCGCTAGTCTTGTTCAAGGCTCAGTGCAGAGACAGCTCCTGGGGAAGCAGGGGGCGGGGCACACACATCAATAGCCTTTGTCTCTCAGTTGTGTGCATAAAGTTCTGACTATATGCCTTTCCCTTTGAGCAGCACTTTATTAATTTCTTAATGAAAGGGAAGAACCACTAGTACCACACAAACAGGATGTATTTTGTAAATAATACAATCTCATTTTTACTGTCATGGAGCAGTATTTTTAGCTATGGTGACTTCCTTGTTCCTTAGGGTCCCGGCTTCCTCCTCTGTAAAACTGAAATGATATGTTATTTCAGTAAGACTTGGACTATGTCAGTGAGCTTAAAAGGGATGACTACATCCCTATATGTAAGAATAGATACAGAACATTATGCAGGAATTATAAAATATATCTGTGTGCATTAACCTGGGGAAAATTATAAGATATTAAGTGAAAAAAGGATAAACCAGAGGGAAACACACATAGAATGAACCCAATT